GCCATACCCCTGCATCGCCATACCTCTGTATACATGCCTGCGTCATCATGCCTCATCACGTCGCCCACCTGCAGTGCCATACCTACATCTTCCCCACCTACATCATCCTTACCTACAGTGCCGCCTTGCCCTTACCATCATCCTTACCCTCATCATCTTACCTGTGCCACCCACCTACATCACCCTTACCTACAATGCCATTACCATCACCCTTACCTACATTCCACCCACCTACCAGTGCCACCCACCCCACCATCACCCTTACCTACATCACCTTACCTACCCCCCACCTACAGCCACCTACATCACCCCTTACCTACTGTACCCTTACCTCATCATCCTTACCTGCATCATCGCCTCATCATCTTACCTACAATGCCCTTACCTACAGTACCCTTACCTACATCACCCCATACCTGCAGTACCGCCTGCATCATCTTACCATCATCGCCTGGTACCGCTTACCTGCATCATTTTGCTTCCACATCATCCTTGCAGTACCGCCCACCCTACCAGTGCCCGCCCCCTGCATCCACCCAGTGCCGCCCTCGCATCGCCATACCTACATCACCCATCACAGTTGCCATGCCTGCATCATCCTTCCTACATCATCCTTACCTACATCATCCTGACCTACATCACGCCCACCTGCAGTACCCTTACCTACATCACCCTTACCTACAGTCCTTACCCCTACATCATCCTTACCTACATCATCACACCTACAGTACCCCTTCCACCTACATCATCCTTACCTACATCACCCTTACCATCACCTTACCTACATCACCCTTACCTGTACCCATACCTCAGTACCCCTACATCACCCTTACCTACTTGCCCTTACCCACATCATCCTTACCTACATCATCCTTACCTACATCACCCTTACCTAGTACCCTTACCTACAGTACCCTTACCTACATCACCCTTACCTACATTACCCTTACCTACATGATCCTTAACTAAGTGACCCTTGCCTACATCACCCTTACCTGCATCACTCTTACCTACATTACCCTTACCTACGTGACCCTTACCTACCTTACTCTTACCTACATCATCCTCATGTATATGCCCGATATTGTTGAATATGGTGAGACAACTTTGTCCTGAACGGTGTTTGTAAACTTACTCAGAAATACTAGTCTCTGGGTCATTAGTCACACGTAGTTTCCGTCCGGTCACACATGATGGACGAATAAAGCACTAAATCTGATTGAGATGTGGTCTCGATACACTAAATTGATATCACAGCTTATCAGAATTCACCTAAAGTAGTCTTTCCTAACCTAACCTAACCTCCTATAACGCAATCTCATTGCACCTGAAATATATTTTAATTTGACCTATCGTAACCTATCCATTCTTGTATTCAACCTAACCTGACGTAATCTAAACTAACCTAACTAAACCAAACCTACATATATCTAAGTAAAACTTAACCTAATCTAACCTAACCTGACCTAATCTCATACAACATAACTAAACTTAACTTACTCTAACCAATCGTAGCTTATTCTTTTTCCAGTTCAACCTAACCTAACCCAACCTAACTTAACCAAAGGAAACCAAACCTATCTTTATCGAACCTATCGTAATCTCACTGAACCTGACCCAACCAAGATACTTTTGTCAGCGCACATTATAACACCATCCCATTACCAGTAATTAACACAGTACAACCAAAGCTAACAAATTAACATCACAATTAACCAAAATGATCGCAAAATCACCAGACAATAAGTCATCATCCTCAGGGGTTAGGTTGTCGTTCTCGAGAGTTTAACTCATCGTTCTTTGAAGGATAAAACGTGAATTATCTCCATGAGAAAATCAATTAATCGTCATTAGACATTTAATTCATCGTTCTTCAGGCGTCAAATCATCGTCTTTTAAGGGTTAATTCACCATCCTCCAGGGGTTAAGTCATCACCTGCAAAGTGTTTTTATCAACCAACATTTGATCAGGGTTTGATCAAAGTGCTGTAACATCAATCAAAACTTATCACCACTTGGGTCTACTCACTAGATTATACAAGTGACGTTGATTTGACCATTTACCGATTTCTTGAAAATTTAATATTTTTGCAGTTTGGAGGATTTATACGAACACCATTATATATTAATATTTTGATAATGCACTGATAATTTTAATTGATTTTTATTAATTCGTTAATATATTTAGACCTACACTTAAAGTAGGGATATTTTGATAATTTCATGATTAACTCGGTGCTCTACTGCCTGTGGTTGTAGGAGGGTGTGCATGCTTATGATTCATTGTAAGGTAATCGTAAATATATATTGTACACCGCTCCCCCACCCTCAATTTGGTCTTCAGGTTTCGCATAATAGAAGGCGGTGAATTGAACGTACTGTGCAGTTGTGGAAATGTGTTCCTACACCCTCTGTGATAACCCGTGTCTCCAAACGGCCAATATATATGATCTGTCATTACACGATCAATACCCATTCATTCATAATAGGGGCTTTGAAGCTATTAGACCTCATATGATATCAATCACCCTAGGTGGGAACCTAGGAGGTGACAGGGCAAATTTAACACATCTAGATTAGACTAAGCTGTGACTAACAGTTGAAGAAAACGGGAAACTTGAGAGAATGGGTACCTGCCCCATACTACAACATACCTGAGCCATTCCTTTCCAAAACCTACATCAGGCATAACAGGGGGATGAAGCCGAAGGAAGGGGATAGTGCGTGCACTGTCTTGTCTCACTCACCAAAAATAGGCTTTTCAGCAAGCTTGGCTCCTATTTTCGTGAGATGAGCTTGCTAGTGCACTTGCTATATTACACAGGAAGGAGGGTGCTAGGATGTAAAGGGAGCAGTGAGCACATGCAGGACCATTTTAATTTTACATGATCTTAGATTAAGCTACATTAATTTGTTTTTACTAGGGTGCTGTCTGTGGGTCAAAGGGTGTGTCTGACACCTGGGGCCAGTGCAAGAAGCTCCGTAGTGTATACAATGCTGTAGTAGCCCCATGGTTTTTGTGCAAGAAGCGTTCTGGGCTAAAAAAAAAATATATACGATTCATTATTGGAACGTGGGAAAATTTTGTGGCACTCGCACCCCCGCCCGATGATCACTACGATAGAACTATATTTTGAAACCAAAGAAAAGAAATAGAATTGGATGCACATGAATTGTATAAATCTGCAAAGGGATAATATTTTTTATGAGATATCCTCCATATAAAACAGCACATGAAGAATTTTAGTGTTCTTTTTAAAAGAATTCCATGTTTGTTTAGGAACATCCGCCAGCCTCTACTTGACTCATCGCTGCTTATATCCTCCAAATTCTCCTAACCATCATAAAAGGTAAGCCTTTAAGATAACTATTCCAACTAATTTATGTGTAGAAATGTATGGAAATCAAATTAACCTAAAAAAAAAGTCATAAGTGGTCTATTTGAAGAGTGGTGAGAACTGCTCCCTCTGGGATGGTGAATGACGTCCTTTATCAGAATTAATATCGACCCAATTTTCGTAATGAGCGCAATTAATAACCGTCCAGCACTACCAAAATAATTAATTCCTTAGTATAAATACTTAATAGCCTAAATTTCATATTTTAATAAGTCCAAATATGCCAGGTAACCAGTGCCAGGTAGTTCGCAGGCATGTTTCATTTGTGTATCAGTTTAACCACAATTTGTTACTAATAAGATAAATTCAGTGACCTAAATTCATGTTTTATTTTTTCATTCCCTTAGTGACTCAATGTATTGCAAGAAAGAACTACTTAACGACTTTTGGGGCAGCAGTTGGGGTGGTGATATAAATTTACTTTGCCATTGAAAGTGGTAGAATCAAATGTAGATATATTGGTTTGTATGTCCAATATTTCAAGAAAAATGAATAAGTCCTTCTAAAGTAAGTGGAATTAATGATATTATTATCTTTTTGTCCATCCAGCAAATTTAATGATTTTAAGTTGACCGATTTTTGCCAGTTAAGTTAGGTTACGTTAGATTAGTTAAGTTGGGTTTGGTTAGGTTTGGTTACATTGAAATTATATTTTTTTCAAATGCCAAGTAGGTGGATGACCTAAACAATAATTTTTACCAAATTGATTATGTGTACATCAAAATCATTAGTTTTTTTTTTTTTTTTACAAATTCATACTCCGTAAAGTTCAAATGACAATCACTTGGTGATAGATGTTTCACGCTGTACACTAAAGCTACTTTATGTAAGAGGAAAATATTAGCATTAAATTGGATTGCTTAATACCAAAAGTAGTCATTAATGATAATATTTAATAATAATATTTCAGGTATTATACACTACAATTTCATCTTTAAACTCCTTGTATCTTACCTAACTCACCTTGCTGCTCCACTCAATTATAGCTAGATGTAATAATTGTAGAAAGTAATCACAGGTATGACTCCCTTTACCTTGGATATTCAAAGATAATGAAATTATAAATCTTTAATTAATGTTATATACATTCTAATGATTACAACAGAAATATGTCAGACTGGACTAATTAACTGTAACCAGAAATTAACCTAAATTAATTTGTCCTTAATCCAACCTTTAAAATATGAAAGACAGTATACTTTATTTTATGATAGTTAAGTCAGTTTCCAGTTGGGTTAGGTTAGCTGTGATTTTAGATGTAATTAACCCCCTAAATACCACAAATGATATTCAAGTGAACATAACTGTGATCATATGCATGATTCTCATCAAACTTACATGGAAAGTACCAAAATTAACAAAAAGCCGCATAAAATCTACAGTTTACCCATTTAGTACGATGAAAAGTCCTTGGTTTACTTGTCTAGGGGAGAGAGAGCTCTTGCTTCATTGTGAAGGGGTTACGTCTCGTTGAGGGGTTAATGGTTTTCATTATGGTCAAGTTATTTTTTTGGTAGGTAGGTGAGGATGAGGTTGAGATAAGTTTGAGATATGGAAGGGCAGGATAGGCTTGATTGTCTTACTAATGCATTTTTTTTTCAGCATGGAATATTTCGTTGAATATTTGGATGAAGTCCAAGAAGTTTTGGATGTCATCCATGTCATGGAGGTAGCGAGGGTGGGCAGAAACCATAGACGGCGACGCATATTTAGGCAGCGGATCGATCCTTTAGAGGTTTTCACCGACGACGAGTTTGTGTGGAGGTATCGGCCTTGTTACAAGAAATAGGACACCATCTTCCAGCTTCCAGAAACAGGAGAGGTAATTGAACATTAACAACAGTTCAGACCAAACATGTACAGTCAAATTGATTTAGATCTTGCAGAATTATTCAATTTTTGCTGCAAATTATATGTGAATTGCATCCCTACAGTCTGCAATACCAGTCCATGTTAAAGAGACTGGTATATATCCAATCTCTGTGTATAAGAAAACAGTGTATAATTTCAGACCATAATTTATCCAAAACTAATTTGTACACATACTTTTCTATGTCTCCGTATCTCACCAAGACAGCAGTTAGGGTTGCACTCCGTTACCTGGCAACAGATGATTTGCAACTGACTGTTGGAGACACGGCAGATATGTCACAGGCAAGCGTTTGTCGATCAACCAAGAGGGTTACCTGTGCCATCACCACCATTGCACCACTATACATATGGTTCCCTACCCCAGCAGAGGAGACTACTGCCATGCAGGATTTCTCCATCATTGCAAACATGCCAGGCTGTATTGATTGCATTGATGGTACCCTCATCCCCATCATAGGACCTGGCGGTAATGATTCCGAGCTTTACCGGTGTCGCAAAGATTACTTTGCCTACAATGTAATGGCTGTGAATTCTGCTTCACTTGCCATTACTAGTTTGGTGGTAAACTGGGCTGGCAGTGCACACGACTCACGAATATTTAACGAGTCAAATCTGTGCCAGACTCTTCAGGAGGGTCATTACCGTGGGTTCCTTCTGCAGAGTGGGTATCCGTGCCGGAGTTATCTCTTCACTCCCATCACTAATCCAAGAACTGAAAAGAGGTGACACTTCAATACAGCTCATATCAAGACCCGAAACTGTATTGAAAGGGCCTTCGGTGTCTTGAAGCGACGATTCGCGGTTCTGTCTTCACCTACCAGGACCAAACTAATGACCACACAAGACATCATCTTGGCCAGTGTTGTCCTCCACAACATAGCCATCCAGAACAGGCTACCCCTAGTGGGTAGACCACAGAGACAATGTGGCTGGAGGTCATGCCAGACGGACAGATATTGTAAATAGATTTTTTTAGTGTATTATTTAACATGCAAGTTCTGTTTTACTTTTGTTGTCATTGTGAGGTATGTAATTATAAGTTTATTTTTACATGGATATTTTATATATTTTAGATTTTGTAAATTATTTCTCGATTCATTTCTATGTAGTGAGTTGTCTATACTTGTTTGTATGTAATGTGAATAAGAATCTTCATCAATAGTTTGAGGATGTTCAATGTTTCATCATGGTTTTGTTGGTGTATATAAAATTTAAATTCATAAACAACTAAATTGCCAATCTGTTTCATTCATTATCAATTAAGAATAAAGATAAACAAAGGAAAAAGCATATAACTATATCCTGTTTCATATTCAAATGTTTTATTATAAATTAGCTAATTATAGCTTATCTTACAAAAATAATTATACTACAGTGTTTGTACAAAACCTATTATTTCACTGCAATATAGAAAATGCATTTTGACTATAATGCAATAGTAATATCCTGTACCAAATTAACATAAATATCACAAAATATATGGCTCTGCAATTATATATCACACAGATACCTTTTAAAAGAAATTAGTTTATTCTATAATTCAATTACTAAGAAACCATAAATTTTTTTTGTGAGAAATCAAATGAAAGTAAAGTATAATGCAAATGAAAAAAAAATATAATTTTGACATCCTGGCGAAAGCATCTATTTTCGCTTCCTCTGCTCTAATCCACGTCTTTTCAACTTGCAATTTTAATTCGTGGAGCTCCTGCCTCCTCTGGGACATCTCCTTTGCCATATGAAAAAAAACAAAACATGCTCTGCATGCTCTGTTGAGTGAGCATATATATATATATATATATATATATATATATATATATATATATATATATATATATATATATATATATATATATATATATATATATATATATATATATATATATATATATATTTCATTAGCCCAATAAAGCACACAGACTTCTACATACAATCAACACCTCACCTCGCCAGGATTCGAACCCACGATCCTATGACTGTGACCGGGGAACGTTACCTCTGGGCCACCAGGACGCCGAAAGCAGTCCTAGACTGTTATATTTCACACAAAGCCTGTTCAACGAGCTTACGGCGCCGTGAACCTCTAATGGGAACTACCCGTGCCTCTTAGGTGACCAGAGTAACGTTTTACCAAATCTGTCTTCGAAACACGAGGATCATATATATTTCATTAGCCCAATAAAGCACGCGGACTTCTACATACAATCAACACCTCACATCGCAAGGATTCGAATCCACAATCCTATGACTGCGACCGGGGAACGTTACCTCTGGGCAACCAGGACACTAAAAGCAATCCTGGACTCTGTTATATTTCACACAAAGCCTGTTCAAATATTATGCGAAAAATATTGGAATGGCAATGGGTAATCCACTCTCACCTGTATTAAGCAACCTATATATGGAATTCTGTGAAAAGAAACTATTAAGTAATATTTTACCACCTTCAGCAGTCTGGTTTAGATATGTAGATGATGTATTATGTCTCTGGTCAAGTAATGAGGACCTTAAAACTTTCCTGCCATAACTTAATAACTTAGAGCATGACTGTAAATTGCCATTCCTAGACTGTCTGATATACAGAATAGGTAACACCTTTAAGTTCAGTATTTATAGAAAACCTACTAATGTGTGTTCATACATTCATTATTGTTCTGCCCACCATCCACCATAAGAGTCAAACAGTCAGTATTTTCAACAATGTTTTTACGTCCTTTGAGAATTTGCAGCCCGGAATTCATTGATGAGGAATATAAATATATCTATAATATTGGCTCAAACCTTACAAGTAATTACCCTAGATCTTCCATAGACAAATACCGGAACATTACTAAGAAATCGTTTTATAGAACTGATCCCAAGCCCACCCATGACCATAAGAATCTCTTAGTATTACCATTTCACAAAAATTTATCTCAAATTCCTTTACAACTAAAAACCTGGAACGTCAATGTGGCATTTAAAAACTCAAGCACTGTTAAACAAATGTTAATCAAGAACTCCCCCAACAACACAATTGGCTGCATTTAAAAAGTTCCTTGCAAGGAATGCAATATGTTTTACTTAGGCCAGACAGGTAAAGATCTTGCAACTAGACTTAAACAACATAAATATAGTGTTAGGACAGGCCAGGAATCCAATGCTCTGTTTGTTCATCTGAGGGATAATAAGCATTGCATTGACTGGGATAATGCCTCCTCAATATTACCTTGTAATTCAATTGACAGTAGGAACATTATAGAATCTAGTCTTATTAAACATACCGAAGCAGTCAACATGAATCTGAGTAATGGCATGTACAAACTGGACAATTTTGTAATTAAGAAGATTTGTAACCAGGTGAGAAGGTTGGGTCACCTTACCCTCTGACCTGACTACCAACCGTTACGGTGCTTTTTAAAGATTAGTAGGGTCATTACCTAATACCTGACCATTGTGGACCTGATCTCACCCTCCTCTGAATATATACACCTTGTTTTGTACTTCTCCATAGTCTGTACTCACCCCTGAAGATGTGAATTACACGAAAGCACTTGGGAACTTCGTGTTTTCTTCTTTCCTTGTGGTTATCAGCACAGTATTCTTCTCTATGTGGAAGGTGTTCCAATGCAAAGCCGAGTCGACACTCCTTGTGAGTAGGTGTTAGCCACCCTTTGTGAGCTGGAATATGGCAGTCGATCCCGGCTTCATGAAGTCGGCGTCTCGTCGTCATGTGATGGCAGTTGAGGCCCATATTTCTTGTATGCTCCACTGATGTTCGCATTGGATATGCCGTTGCAGCTGCCACGATCATGGCGTCCATACTTGCCGAAGTTACTCGTGGCCTCCCGCTTCGAGGTTTCGTCTCCACTGAGCCCTCTTCCTCCCACCGGCGGATCCACCTCCTAATCGTCTTGGTGCTCCTCCCCACTTCGAGAGCAATGTTCGGCACAGTTGCCCCGGCTCTCCACATCCCGATGATTTGGCCTCGCTCAAGAAACCCTTCCTATTTCATGTATTCATAGTGAACTGCAAGTGGATCCCCCCCCCCATACCTCCACCACCACCCCTGCGACTGTAGAGTGAACATTCGCCGATAATCATCATCAAGATTTAGTTTAACCAGACCACTGACACCCATTTGAGTCTCTCCTAGGGCTGGCCAGAGGGATTAGTTAACATACATTTGTGTTTCTATAATTTAGTGTTATATTGTGTGGAGGAGATTACAGTATTTCAAAAAGGTCAAAACTGAACTTTGGGAAAATTTTGGGGTCTCTGCTAAAATATCTTTGATTGTAGGGTTAGTGAAGCACATTGTTCGATACCGATTATAAATAGGGCATTCAATGAGAATATGTTGGACTGTTATTTGTGTTCGGCAGTTGGAGCATATAGGTGGGGCTCCATTCGGGGAAGACATGAGATGGCCATGTGTCAATCGCGTATGCCCAATTCTCAGACGATTCAGAATAGTTTCGTGATGTCGAGAGGATTGTTTTGATGGTGACCAAGGATAAACTGATTATTTGATAATTTTTAGCTTATGACTTGTTGGTTCATTTTCCCAGGACTTTTGCCAATCGTCAAATTTTAATTCTTTATAGGTAGTTAGCCTCGCCGATAATCAAAATATATGGTTTTCCACTGCTTTACATATTTCTTTGACAATTTTCAGCTATGACATACTTATCTCCTATAAATAATTCATTTAAAATTTACTTCTTTACAAAGAATATTTACTGGTCCCAGAATGTATCTAAACTTACGCCAGTGATGGTCAAGTCTGATCTTAAGTAAGTTCATACTCGGTGCTATCACAACACTACCTATAACTCTGAATACAAGGGGGAGGAGCCATGTCGTCGGTTCTGTGAGTGTTCATTACAGTAGTCCAATTCGTCGCCATGGGTAGAATAGGGGGAGGGGGGTTGGGGAAGGTAATGTGATGGGATGGAATGTTCGATTGACGTTAGTCTTGGGGGAGGGATGAAGGGAAGAGGTGGGGGAGGGAGAAGTGGAGTGGAGGGATGGTGGAGGGGGAGGGTGGGGAGAGAATAAGTAGTCGATTAGTGTTTAGGTGTGGTAACCCACGATGCTCAAATTATGAGGTTTAATAGTTGGGTTGGTAGAGGCGGGGGGAGGGGGAGGATGGGCGCGGAGTTGGAACTCGTGAACGTATGATGTTGTTTAAAGCAAGTTACGGACCATTACAGTATCTTCAAACGAGTTTTCACGTTATTAATAGGTCTTATGTAATCCACCAATAAGGATTACAACAGCACGCAGTATGGCTGCAATTGGTAAGAAAAATAAAATATAACATGGCAAAATTTTTCCCCTGCATAATTTTTACAACCCACCTCACGCCTAAAGTAAACCGAAAAATGTTTATGTGTATAGAAGATTTTCAACTCAATATCACATATTCTTTCACCTCTACAAATATCTGCTGTCACTCATGGGACACCCTGCAATAGTATAAGGACGACATGGGCTATGCTGACAAATTAATGTGACTTACCTGTTGGTGACGACGATGGTAGGAATGAGAACTCAGCATGTTTCATTGTTCGACATCACCTCCTTCCCCTAGAGTGGGTGGCGCCAACCTTGATAACAACTTGTGTATTCTCCGTGACTACCAGAAATGGTAGTCACGGAGAATTAATTACTGGTGTGCCCATCAGTCTCACTGTCGTAGCCATGAATGGCAGAGATATGGTCGTTGTAGTGCTTTTATTTAT